GTTCTTCTCTCTTTCTTTTTTCAAACCCGCCCCCAGTCCTTTGGTTGATCTCCTCCTCCGTTCGCATGAACTTGTCTGCAAGCTTAAGGAACTCAGCAATGGTGGCGGGCTGGTTGGCCACTATGTGCCACTTGAACTCCTTGTGTGTCACCCCCATCTTGGCCACCGCGAGGTGAATTGCGGGGTCCAGGCGTGGGATCTGTAGGCATGCGTCGTTAAACCGCTTGATGTAGTTACGGATGGGCTCCCCTTCCTTTTGGACCATGCCGAGGAGGCTCTCCTCGGTTCGGGGGCATCGCTTGCTGGTGACGAAGTGTGCGGTGAAGACCTGCACGAACTGGGCTCAGCTCCTTATTGACCCGGGGGCTAGGTTCCTGTACCAGGTGTGAGCCACTCCTCTAAAGGTGGTAGTGAAGGCTACACACATGCAGGACTCGCTGGCCCTAGCCAGGTGCATCTGGGATTGGAAGGCATCGACATGGTCGCTGGGGTCAAAGGACCCATCATACTTGTCGAGTGGGAGGAGTTTGAAGTCTCTGGGCATAGGAACTGCAAGGAGTTCTGATGACAGGGGGGAAGGGACTGAGAGGATAGGGGCAACCTTTACCTCTTCCGAGCTCACTTCTTCTTCACCTCGGAGCTCGGGGAGGATGCGGATTGCGGTTTGGCGGTTTCTCCGGCGGTGCCTCTACTGCTTGGAAGGCCCGACGTTGGCATTGCTCACCTCGGTGTTCTCGAGCTCGATGGGCCTGGACTGCTGGAGGTAGTCCGCGGCTAAGGCGCTGAACCAGTTTTCAGTGTGCAGGGGCCCTCTTGAGAGTGCCGAGGTGATGCTGACTTGATGGATCGGGTTCTTGGTCTGTCGGTGGGTGGCGAGGTGGGGGCAGCCGCTCTCTCTTTCCTGCCGGGGGACGAAGCATGGCTTCTAGAGGGGCTCCGAGCCTAGGAGGCCCGAGCTTGGGAAGCCTCCTGGTGGGGGCGCCCGCCTTGAGGGGAGGGCTTGGCTCGCCTAACGGTGGGGTGCCGAGGTGGGGGTTGCGGCTGACTTTGAGGCAGTTGGGGGAACTGCTGTTGGTAGTGGTATTGGGATACATGGTGCAGCATCTGTTGCTGGTAGATTTGATGTTGTTGAAGCTGCTGCATTTGGTCTTGAATGGCCCGCATGCCATGCACCAAGTCATCGAGCTGGTTCTGGCTAGTTGCCGGGGGAATAATGGTTGGTTCAGCAAAGGTGGTTCCAACAGAGGGAGGAAGGGGGACGTTTATGGCGGGAAGATTCACGGGCGCCACTGTTCGTGGTGCATTTAGGCTAGGGATCCCATCCACCGAAAGGGGGATTATGAATTGTCCGATGCACACCACGAGGACTGGAAGTTGTTCCCCGGTGGCGTTCATCTCCGTGCTACATCCGACATTGCTGGAAGAAGCCATGGGTGTTGGGGTTTATTGGAAAAAAAAAGGTGTTATGAAAGTTTTAGAGGGAGGCTTTTAGAAGCGTTTCCCATAGACGACGCCAATTGATGGAGCGCAATCTGGTCGGTCCTAGTTGTCAATGATCTTGCCTCTGACTAGAGCAAAAGGTGCTTGAAACGGGGAAGAAAGCGAGTAGTCTCCGGGGAGGAACCCGATGAGAGTGCTCCAAAGCTCAAGTTAGTATTTTCTCAAAGGCAAGATAAAAAACCAGATGGCGCAAAGTTATTACATACCTCCATTCTTGGGGGGAAGAGGGCTTTTTATAACCACTTCGCGCACTCACTCCCAATCTCCTGTCAGTTCGGGTATCATTACCTCTGCACTTTTGCCAGTTCGGGTGTCATCACCTCTGCTGGGGCAGACAACCGCCACTGCTCTCTGTCGGAGCCATCTCTGTAACTGGAGGTGGTGGTGGCAGGTGGCCATTGAAGTGCGGCTGTCAAGCGTCAGATCCTAAGTTAGTTAGGTGCGTCGCCTCAGGATACGGACTCCTTCGGTGTCAGGTACGGTTGTTCAGTTCGGCGGCCTGGAGATGAAGTGTCGGAGTGGTGTGCGAGGTGAAGTCTTGAGTTCGGATAGAAGTGTGGCCCAAACTTCCCTGGGGTGGGCCAGTTCGGGTTGTTGCCCTTTGCGCTCCTCGTAAGGCTCGGGGTCAAAGGGAGAGTTCGGGCTCCTTTTGGGGAGCTCGGACCGCGGGTTCCTCTTCTCGGAGCTTGTGCCTTGAGCGCACTGCCGTGCTGAGCTGTCGCTCCTGCCAGGTCACCCTCGGTTGCTTCCACGTGTTGGGTGGCCAATAGGTCAGGCCAAATCTTCCTCCATCACTTTCGATTAGCTTCGTTCGGTTAACCACTGTTCGGTTAGCTTCGTTTTGTTTTTTGTTGATTCCAACTTCCAAGGAAATCTTTTACCATCTCCAGAGTCCCAGATTCCGATTCTAGGAGAGTCTTGTCAGCTCACTGCTTCTATTTTTACCCCTCAACCCCACCCTCCTGAGCCCCGACTTTGAGAGATGAGTATGCTCGACGTCCAGAGCTAAGCACTACCTGGAGGAGTTTCAATGGCCATCGCCAAGATCTCCATGTAAGAGCTTTGTCCGCCTTCCACCTTCAGACCACTTTGATGGAATGCATGGTCTCTATTTTTCCTCATCGAGCACTACCTGGAGGAGGAGGAGGATGAAGGCGGACGAAGCTCTTTCGAAGAAGAAGAAAAGAGAAGGCGGAGGGGATGACCAGAGGTGCAGAAAATAAGGCAGAGGGGATGACAAAGGCAGACAAAGCTCTTTTGTTCTCCTCTTCATCACAACTCTTCTCCAAACTAAGATACAAAAGAAGCAGAAGAGGAAAGAAGAGGAGGAAGAAGGAGGAGGAGGAAGAGGAAAGAGGAGGCCAGTGGGTAGACTTATTCGGTGGTCTCAAAGGGGAAGAAGATGAACTGTCCGATGTTCGTTTTCTATTGCCCAGTCGAGTACAATCGGAACTCTTCCTCTCTTTCTCCTATGGAAATCAAAGACAGAGAGATCGGCTAGGGAGAAGTTGTATTAGTCCTTCTCAACAATCAAAGAGAAAACCTCTTCTTCATTTTTGTAAAATAAAAAAAACAGGTGATAGACGCCTAGACTCCAATAAAGAAGTTGCTTGAGAGTGAGGACGATGGAAGGATTCTCGATCTGAATCCAATTGAACTGCATTGACGCCAAGACTTGATCAAGAAGTTGTTCACCGCACAATTGCCGTGTGACCCCCCAGCTCTATTTCTCAATTTGTTTAATTGGTGCGACAATGTTGTTGATTTGAGGCAAGCTGAAATACCAAACCATCCATTGTTCGCTAGAATTCCCGAATGACTTTGTTTATTAATTGAAAACCCTAGGAGGAAAAAAGAGAAAGAAAAACTCAAAATATGAAATGCGCCTTGATGACTTTGTTTATTTTGAGGTTTCGGAGGAACTTCGGATAGCTTCAATAAGATGAAGAGCACGGTGGAACCCCTCCTCCTTTCAACATGAGCTGATTCTCATGTCCTATTACTCTTTGCTTGGACCCAACAAGAAAAAGAAGGAGAGAGAGAGAGAGGGGAGGGTAAAATTGGGTTTAAAAAAAAATATCACATGTGAATGAGTTTTGACTGAATATTAACAGACCTTAATGGTAAGGGTAGAATTAGTCAATTGTTAGAAAAAGTAAGGATAACATTAGTCAAATTTCAAACAATAAGGGTACACTTAGTTTAATTAGCTAAACCAGGGTAGTTTAAGAAATTTACCTGAAATATAAAAGGGAGAATGACGGTTCAGCCCAGGGTTAGAATTCATAGGCACAAAGTACAGTTGGGGTAGGTGCTATATTGGAATTGATGCCAATTCACAAGCGGGTATGGGTAGGGGTGTAAACGGCATTCGAAAATCCGATTTTGAATTCGATATTCGACATAATCAAGTTAAATTCGGATAATTCAAATATTTGATCGATCGAATTCGAATGTCCTATTCATACCAAATAGTTAATTGGATTCAAATTCGGATATGACCTAATTCAATTCAATAAATATACAAATTTGACCGATTATTTTATTCTTATATATAATATACAAAATATTCTATATAATTTATATATAATAATTAAGTTATATAAATAATTTATATATTTATATACTCTATATTAATAAAATATTTATTTTATATATTTTTTAATTATCAATAATTAATTAATTAAAATCGAATCAAATCGGATATTTAAATATTTAATCGGATTCGAATTCGGATATTAATTTTCAATCAAATATCGAATCAAATTCGGATATCAAGTTTTGTAATCGGATTCGAATTCGGATGTTGTCTGTATTATTCGAATTCGATCCTTTTTTTTTACGTTTTAAATGTTTATAGATATAGATTTGTGGTGTAAATCGGAAAATGCATTAGGCCTGTTCGTATTTTTTCGAATATAAAATTCATTATTCTAGTAAATTTACTAAAATTTCCTTCTTGTCATATTGTGTAAGTACCGCCGACGCGACGTGGCTACATCACGCGCTCGGTGCAATTCCATATTCAGTGAATTATGGCCGCATATAAAACCATTGAGCCAGTTTGGAGGCCGCGTAGCTTAAACGCTGTGACGCTGTGTGACAGTGAGCGATTTCTCTCTGGTTGTTTCAGCTTTCTAAGAGGAGATCCAGGGTTGGAGAAGGAAAAGCAATGGTATTTCCATCTCTTCTTTCTTTGATGCTTCTATTGTTTCTTCTTCATTTTTCCTCAAAAAATTTATTCAATTGGTTTCGATTCATTGAATACTGCTTTCTTTGGTTTAAATAAGACCAAACTTTCTTATTTTTATTCATTGTCTGCTTTAGTTTGAAGTTCTCTCTCCCCACCCGGCGGTATTTTCTTAGTCGGATATTTTAGGGTTTTAATCAATGTTCTTTGTGGCTTCTGTATGATGGCTTGTGTTCAAGCCTGTGGGTTGATTGCTTATCTTTTAAATCGAGCATTAGAATCTCACTAGCCGATTTGAGAGTCTTTTTTCAGGAGTCAGAGCCTGCTTTTGGGCAAGTCTAATTATGCTACTCACTAAATTAACTTAATTACTGTTAAGTGTCAATTGCCTCAGGGCTTATAAACCCATTTGTTCATACTATTATAGGCTCTTCAGGATTCTATTTCTTTTTTTTTTTTTTTTTAATTTGTGTGTGAGGTTGGATCTTGGCATCAAATCTAAAGAACTTTGACGTGGATACCAATGAGTCTTGAAACTTACTGCGGGTATTGATACATCACTTGGTGTTGCTTACCTAAGGCTGATCCCGAATTGGAAGCTATCAGACAAAGAAGAATGCAGGAGTTAATGGCACAACATGGCATTGTAAGTGATAAGTGTCTTTATCTTGTGATTGAATTATTTTACGCCAACTTTATTTTCTTTTCTTCTATGTGAATGAATATAAATTATCTTTATTAAATGACCTTTATTGACAAACAGGGAAATCAGCAGAACTCGGAGCAGCAGAAAGCACAGGAAGAAGCCAAAAGGTTGTTTTCTTATGCACTAAATTGATAGCATGATGCCATGCTTTGTTCTTTCTGCTGTGTTTGGTTGCAGTGCAATTTTATTTGCACTAGTACAAATGTATGGGACTGCAAATGAAAAAAATGCAAATTTTGGTTTAATTTTGTTTTGAAATTTACTTTATTTTGCTTTAGGTCTTATTTTACTTCATTTTTAATGCAACCAAACAAAGTAAGGTAAAATTTGAAACAAAAATAAATCAAATTTTGCAGCCAAATCATGCACTACCATAGTTTTACATCAGTGCAAATGAATTTGCACTGCAACCAAACACAGCCTTCAGGTTTTTGTCATATCTATCAAGGCGACAATTAAGGGGATGGGATTCCCTGCAAGCAAAAATTCTGTAAACACTTTGCAAGCAAGCATGGGAATGCAGCCGCACATTGGGAGCATCTTGCCATGAATTTAACATACATGTATGGGAGATATTCCAAATGTGCGATTGGATGATATGTGCGCAGAGCTTTTGCTTGCTGGAGATCTGGACTCACATTTAAGTGGGCACTTATGTAACACCAAGTGTACAAGGCATTTCCTTTGGGGTGGAGCATTTACATCATGCCGTATTTGCATAATATTTCATGCCTTTTTAGGCAAGGAAAAGGGAAAGGTTGACAAATTATTGTATGTTGTATACTATGTTGTATTTTGTTTGTGCTTTGTGATACATAAAAATCATATAGAAAATATATTAGTATGTTTATTACCTATTTGCTTGAATTCTTGCTGGAGTACTTCCTTTCTCAGCTTCAAGCCTTCAATGTACTATTGCTTTGCCTATTTGTTCAGATTCTTATGAAAATTCATGATTTTAAGTATGCCTTGCTATTTTTCTGAATGGAATTAATTAGATTGTACATGGAATATTCATATATATGATTAGAAATTAGAAGTGATGTTACCTTATGAAATTAATGAAGTAATGTGTCTTTATATGCAAAATTTTTTCCTTATTGGCTTTCTTTTAGTAATTTTCAATACAAAATATTAAGAAATGGAAAATATGACAAACATCAACATTGATTATACCCAATAAATTATCTTAAGAAAAAATCATACGCAATAAATTAAAGGTCTTATTTCTCAAAAGGACTACTGCATAACCTGTGTCTAGGTGGTGCCTAAGGTCTTATTTGTGAAAAGAACTACTGCTTGCCTGGTCTTGTCTTGTCATCTTGATAACAATGGTTGTAGGAGTTTACCTAATGAAAACGTTTTTTTTGGGAAGTTCTAACTAGATTTTTTAACTCTTGTAACTCCAGAGAAGCAGCAGATGAAAGGAGGCAAATGATGCTTAGTCAAATCTTGTCATCTGAAGCACGAGAAAGGCGTGAGTTGAAATTTGTATATAATTAGCAATAGTTCTTGTAAATGGCAACATTTATTTTATTTATTTTTATTACCAGAATTCTAGTCAACTACAAACTGGGACTTCGGTTTAAGTGTGAGTTTGGAATTAATTAAACCGTACATAAAGTCTCTTCAAGCAACTTATGGTGGAAAATAAACCCAAAATGATTTCAATAGGCGTACACTACAGCTCACCTTGTGCTGTGTGCCTCAAGCTTATGGAACCCCTTGTGCTTAGTTACATTTCTTTACAGAGGACTATGGTGGAATTTAAAGGAGTCTCAATAGAGTCCATTTTGAGAGGCTAACAGACACTAAGGCGGTTGCTAGTCTTGAGTCTTTAAATACAGAATGAGGCAGGATAAAAGAAATTTAATGGGTTTTGTTTTGGTAATCCTAGTTCTTCTGGAGTTTGGGAGATCTTTAGGGATCATGCTGGAATTGTTCTGCTTGGATACTTGGTCCAGTCGATAAAGGAATATCCTTAAAGGCTGAACTGTTAACACTCCTCCAAGGCTTAAACCAAGCCTTCTATGGATTAGTTCTATTATTGGCTACTTGAATTATTTTCCATTTTATCCATTGTTTTGATTAGTTTCTAGCATTGGTTTCAAACTTATCTCCCAGCTGTTGTGTTCTTATCTCAAATAGTTGCTCGGATTGCTTTGGTGAAGCCTGAGAAGGCACGTGGAGTTGAGGATGTTCTACTGAGAGCTGCTCAAATGGGTCAGATAGTTGAGAAGGTAAGGAAGGACATACATTTATGTTCTTTGATATATGCCTATTAGCTGCATTTAATCTACCAATAAATTGTTGGAAAACAGTCTAAAGCTTTTCAAATTTCAATTTCTTTTTCTTTCCTTTTTTGCGCATCTATGTTGGGTGGGGATCATTTGACATTTCATTTGTTTGTTTTTGTCTTTATCTTTTAAAATAATATTATTTAAGTCTTTAGGTGTACTTTGTTTTTTATCTGCAAGTGGTTATGGAGATTAGATGAAGAGAACAACCACTTAGGGAGGCAAGTGATTGACAACAAATATGGGAGTTCACTAGTGGGTTGGGGGACAACTTAGCTGTCACATCCATATGTTTACAGCCTGTGGAAAGGGATTATGAAGCTTAAGAGTGAGTTTGCAGGTAATACAGGACGAGGCATGGCCCTGGAGACAAAACCTATTTCTGGATGATTGAATGCTGGAGGAGGCATCAGTTAGTGACCGATGCCTTCATATGATGATTATCCAGCCCTTTTTCATATAGCAGCAAACAAGGAGTCATCGGTTAATGATTGTTATGACTTGGTTGGCTCTCAGATGGTGTGGGGTCCTTTGTTCAGACAGAACATGAATGACTGAGAGCTGGCGGCCTTGGGCTCTTTGTTGGAAAGGTTTAGTGGTTGCCACATTCAACCTGATGTGAAGGATTCTAGAGTATGGTTGGAGGACAAATCTGGGCTTTTCTCTATTAAATCATGTTAACAGGTGTTATCAGGGGTTGATGCTTTGCCAATCCTTTTTGGAGTTGGATTTGGAAAATACAAGTTTCATTCAAAATTACTTTCCTTCTTTGGACTGCATTTTGGGGCTGAGTTCTTACTATTGACCATCTGTTGAATAAAGGGATAGTTATGGTCAATGTTTGCAGCCTCTGCAGATAGGAGCAGGAGCCTGGTAATCACCTCTTCATTCACTGTTTATCACTCATCAGCTTTGGTCCCATTTTCTGCTTTTGTTTGGGAGACAGTGGATTACTCCACCAGACCTTCCTTGTCAAAGTATTTTCAGCTAAAGAGAAGATTCTATGGGGAGAACACTTCCTTCTGCTTTTTGTTGGGCTGTCTGGTAAGAAAGGAAGAAAGGAATAATAGCATATTTTAAGCCAAAGTCTCCTCCCCAGAAATGGTGATCAACAAAATTGAATGGATGATGATGCATTAGGTGGGGTGCTAATGTAGTAATGTGTTACAACATTTTTTCTGGTGTTTTTGAGGAAAGTTTCATGAACTAGTAGAGTAGTATAATTTTTTGAGTCTTAAGGCAGCTGATGTATGCATTAGTGCCTTCTGGAATGTACGACTTTTTGTGGGCTGACACTTTTGAAATCTCTGTATGTCTTTTTATACACGATCTTGAGGGTCCTTCACCCTTTTTACATTAATACAACATACACTTATTACCTGTCAAAAAATGTCATATTATTTGTCTTTACAACTCTGCCAGTGTGAGCTTGTCTTACACTGTCAATCCCAAGCCCGATTAAATGAGGGTTCAGGTTGGCAGCTGTTACTAATACTTTTGTCAAACTCTCATATCCAACCCCATATAGTTGGGATAAGACATGGATGATGATGATGATATTATTTGTTTTTATATTTGTTATGCACTCCAATTGCTATAAGCATCTGTGGTTGCACATGGTAATGTTGAGAGTATGTGAAGTAGAAAAGTTTAATCCATGTACATCTACAAATGTCCATGCATATACTTGATATATATCTAGTTACTGATGTGTCATTAAACATTTTTCTGCTCCTTTTTCCATATGTAGGTAACATATGGATATGGGGTGTTGTATATGCCAAGCTCCAGAAATACTGTTGAGAGATCTGTGCAGACGAAACGTCTGTGCTATCTTTTGCATCAATTAATATTCTTTGCTTTCTTTGCACTAAACAGCTTTTTGAAACTTTTTTAGCTCTCCTAAGTATTTTCTTCATATTCTTATTGAGCAGAGCACTTGACCTGTGAAGTCCAATGTGGAATGGATCTCATAAAAACTGTCCAAAAGTCTATATACAACACATACACCTGCATATTAATGCACATTGTGGATATGAATAAAGATACTCGTGTTGTTGAAACCATATATGGCCTTTATTCTGCAGGTGTCTGAAGAAAGGCTTATATCATTACTGGAACAGATTAACAATCAAACAACAAAGCAAACCAAAGTGACGGTATGCATATATTTTCGGTGGTATTCAATTTGCTTCTCTGTTACAGGACTATTAATTCTTGTCTCTCAACATCGATTCTTCAGATCCAGAGGCGTCGGAGTGTTCTGGAGGACGACGATTAAGACCCATTTGGTGTTTGATGATAGAAAACTCTTTAAATGGTTGTATATTTTTGGTCATTTGGCCAGCATTATTGAGCGTGACTCATTTCAATATACCTTCTGCTACTGGCTTTGCTAGAAATTGAGTGTCTTTTGTTCTGTCGTTTGTGTGCATGAAACCGTATCTGCTGTGTCTTTGATCTGTATTGCACCGGCGATGACATTCTGGCGTACTAGTATGCGTTTGCAGTCATCCCGGGTAAACGGTTTACGTTGTATCTTCAAGCATATCAAAAGGAAAATTGTCCAAAACTCACCATGAGATTTCAGCATCTCTTAAATTCACAACTTTTTAAAATGTCTAAAACTTACCATGTCACTTGCTTAACGTTAACAGACTAACAGGTGTTAATATATTACCATTTTAACTTTCATAGAAAAATATAAAATAAATTAATAGGTGTTCATATATTACTATTTTAATATTTAGATATAAAAAAAGGAAAAAATTCAAAAAAATATTTTCAAATATAAAATACAAAAAAAATAAAAATTTCAATCAAAATAAAAAACTATTTTCAAATTATAGAAATTATAGAAATTGAAAAACAAAATCAAAAAATAAAAATTATAGAAAAATCACCAAAAATTATAGAAAAACACAGTGATTATAAATAAATAACAAAAAATATAGGAAATTTTATAGATTGTAAAAAATAAAAAATATAAAAAAACAGAATTGATAAAAAAAATTATAACAAAGTACTAAAAATGCAAAAAAAACAAGAAAATTGAAAACTAAAAAAGACCATTTTTCCTCTAACCCGCTATTCAAGGGTAATTTGGTCATAAAAATTTTTATTTATGTTGACATAGACACTTTTGGTATGAGATTGGCTTCCATAGGGCAAACCTGTGGCCACACCATTCTAACAGCCTTTCCCAACCTTGCATTGTGAATATCTCCCCATGAAATAAAATACACAAGTACGAAGATATTCTCAATGCAAGACAGTAAAGGCTGCTTGAATGGGCTTTGCCCTGATTGAATCGGAACTCCTGTTAAGAAGCATTAGCGGTCCACTAACGGAAGGTGAGTTTTGGAAAATAAAAACTTACTGACATGGTGAGTTTTAGACATTTTAAAAAGTTGTGGTGAGTTTAAGGGAAATGTTGAAAACTCATGGTGAGTTTTAGACAATTTCCCATACCAAAATAATAGCAAAAGCTGCAACTGGATGTAAATAACTTATTGATCAATCCAAACCGTGGTACCAAAAACAAAACAACCCAAATATGGAATTGCCTTGAATCCAGGAACGGTGAGAGAAGAGAAAGTTGCCATATGGGCCCTCATTTATGGTAGATATTTGGAAAATCAGGCCCCATTTTTCGGAATGAGATCTCCTCCTCACACTTGGGCGCCTCACATGCACATCCACCGTGCATTGGTAACATCTCCCGTGAAAAATAATTTACAAGTACAGGAGATGTTCCCAATACATGGTAGGATGTACGTGTGAGGTGCCCTATGTGCGGAGCAGATCTGGTCTCCCATTATTCGTGGGTTCCACATTTAGTGTAAGGAGTTAATCATGATATAAATTCTTTGAGCTCAGATGTCCTGCCCACAAAAATTCTACCCACATGACTTATTCTTTTTTTTTTTGGTAAAAAAAAAAATTCTACCCACATGACTTATTCTTTTTTTTTTTGGTAAAAAAAAAAATTCTACCCACATGACTTATTCTTTTTTTTTTTGGTAAAAAAAAAAATTCTACCCACATGACTTATTCTTTTTTTTTTTGGTAAAAAAAAAAATTCTACCCACATGACACAACATTGGGAACATTATCATTCATGGGGAGATGGAGTCATGGAGATGTTCCCAATGCAGTGTCATGTGGGTAGAATTCTTGTGGGCAGGTGATCCGATTGATAAGAGACTTCGAATTCCTGCCCACGTCTACTCTTAGCACACTACTCCCGTAAATTGGGAACATCTCCCCCTACATAATACTATGTAGGAGGATGTTGATGCTTGGATTGGCCGAGGACAATAATGTAAATTCACCCCTAGGCTTTGGAAGTGGGCCGAAGGCTTTGAGGGCTCGGAGATAAGGTGTTGAGGCCGAGGCTGATGATGTACCGAGTTCCGTAGAAGTCGAGGGCTGGTAGTTGAGGTGTTGCAAGGCAGAGGATGTCAGAGGCCTCGGGTGAGAACCCGAGGCAGAGACTCCGGCGGTCAAGTCAGTATGAGGATATGAAGAGGGGAATTAAGTACAGACGAGGGTTATGAGGAGGCTACTCATAGATGCTGAATTCCCAAGATGAGGACACTTAAGTTCTGTAGTAGGATCAGATTTCAGGATCAGGATCCCTCACCTGGAGGGGGGTATGCCCTATTTATACTTGAGGAGCCAGGAGGTTGGTGGAGATGAACGCCTAAGATGGGAGCCATACGAGGGCAGTCAGCAAGCTCTACGGGGATGTGTGGGTTCTCTGTGATTGGCTTCGTACGAGGGGTGCAGGGTAGCCCCTGCTGTGGCTAGTCGCGTCCCTGGTTCTGGCATTCGTGGACTGGGTGGCTTGGGCTGGGCCACCCTACATCATTTGCCCCCCACTCCCGAGGCTGAGGTGTACCCTATAGTGAGCGCTAGTGGGTCCGGCAGCCGAGGTGTACCCTATAGTGGCATTCTCTTTTGCATCTCCGCCTGGTTCGTCTTCATAAGTTGGGCCAAAGTTGCGTGCGATTTGTGGCACTACTGCTTTGGATAGGTGACCGGGGGCCGTATTCTACACGGGTCTATGCGTTGGGAGAACACCCCGTACGCGGAATGGATTTCTGATCAAACTGGTGTGCATGTTCGCACGATCGAGTCACATAAACTAGTGGGTCATAGTGGGCGGGCGCGCTAGTTCGCCCTAAGCATCGTTTCGCCTTCCGAGGACAAGTGCTCAGGGGTGCGGAGGTGTTTCGTGTCCGTTAGATCTGGGACAATCTGAGCCGTCACTAGTGCGTCCGTTTCGCCTTCCGAGGCTAAGCGTTACGCGGCACGCTGCGGTTGGGTTGAAGAGGCGGTGGCTTCTCAGCCGTTGGATCTTGAGATATCTGGGCCGTTTGTTCTCCTTTAAATAGGGGCCTTGACGGTAGCGTTCTTGTAATTTTGCCTCTAAGTGCTTTTTCTTTCCAGTGAACTCAACTCCCAGATTCTCCAATCTTTGACACTTCGTTTTCACTTCTTCTTCCTCCACATCCCTTTAGGTAATCTCAAAAGATGTCTTTCTCAGATTCTGGTGCTGACTGCTATGATCTTCTGGATGAGTCGGAGGGGAGCCCCACCCGAACCCCTTTTCCCCTTTCTCCTTTAAGTCCTTCTGTCCTTGCTCCCCTTTGGCAAGAGGTTGAGGTGCTTCGGTAGAGGGTAGCCTCCAAGGGTGCCGAAGGCAGCCATCGAAGCGATGACCCTCCCTGCGAGAGCGCCACATCCATGATGCTGAGGGAGGCCGTGGGATCCTCCCAAGTCGAGGGGGAGGAGACCCCAGACCTTGTCTCCGGGACAAGGGCTGCCCAGGTAGTAGCTGAGACCGATCTCCTACGCCTAGGATTTGAAAATTCTCTGGATGGGGATCAGGTCAAGGCTCTGGCGAGGTAGTACTTCATCCCCTTGTCCTATGGTATGAGGTTGCCTGAGGTGGGCGACCGGCCGTGGACTCCTAAGGAGGGGGAGATCTACATTTACTAACACTTTCTTCAGTTCAGTCTTGGGTTCCCCCTTCATTCGTTGATCCTTGAATTATTGAGGGCGTATGGGGTCACCCTTGGCCACCTGGTGCCCAACGCCGTTAGGACCATTGTGGCAATGCTGGTGGTGGCTCGGTTCCAGGGGGTGGAACTAATGCCGAAGCTTTCCCAAGGGATTTTTATGCCAAGGAAGCACTCTTTCGAAGACGGCACGCACTATCTTCAACCCCGTAGGACCAAGCCAGTAGATAACCACTCTTTTGTGCATAATTGGAAGGGTAAATTTTTCTTTTTGTCTTGTCCTGAGGGTTGGTTCTTCAAGTCGGGGTGGGGAGAGGTTAGCCAAACTATGGAGAAGAGTGTCCCCTTTCTCATGAGTGAGGAGAACGATGATCTCGCGCGGTTTCTCGACTTGGGGAGAGTCCGAGCCTAGCCTTTGGTGGAGGAGGCCCCACTAGTCTTTGCGGAGCTCAGCCCTGCTCCCCTTGGTAGGAGAGGCCCTGTAGTCCCTTAACACGTTCCCTCGTCCTCTTCTTTGCATTGCGTTACTAACGACTTTAATTTGTTTAAAGAGGTGCCGATGGACGCTCGAAAGACCATGATAGAACGTGCCCACACAATGCAGAAGGAGCGAGCGAAGACGCCTCAAAGGCCTTCCGATGGGGCACCAATTCCAAAGGAGAAGGTCCCTGCCCCAACGAAGGGGGAGTCCTCTTGCCAGGTCTCCGCTAAGGGGACAGTTTCATAGGTCCTTGTCAAAGGGACTACTCCAACAACTCCTACGAAGGGAGAAACTCCATAGGTTCCCACTAAGGGGAAGAGGCCCGTCGAGGAGGGCCAGATGAGACATGAACAACACGTGCCACCGAAGCCAACTGATGGGTCGAGGAGGCCTGCCTAGGAGACTGAGGTGGGGCAAAAGAGGCCGGCTGAGGAGGCCGCGGGGGATTAGCTGCTGTAGAAGGTGGCCGACGCCGGGAGCTCAGCGGGGGACACCGCGAGGGGGCCCCATAAGGAGCGAATGGGGCTGTTTTCTGCCCCCACACCCTTAAAGGAGCTCGCTAAGTGTTCCAACCAAATTTTCTGTCCCTAGTGGAACGTCCACGAAGGGGACTCCATTCGTGAGGAGGGGGTCAGTCAGGCCCTAGTGAGTGGGGCCCTTCTCTCATGGGATTGCTTTCAGATGATGGGGAGCGCTTTGGAGAAGGTCTACAACTAGGGTCTGCAAAGCTTAGCCGAGGTAACACTTGTTCCTTTCTCCTCACAGTTACTTGCTTTTTCATAGGATACTGACCATTCCTTCATTGTAGGTCTGCCTCCACTTCGTTGGCCTTGGGGATCAGCTGAAGCTGACCTTGGCCCAGATGGACACCCTGGAGGAGAAGGGGAAGCTCTAGCAAGCTGCTGCCACTACCGAGGAGAAGTACCATAAGTTCCAACAGAGCCTTATTAATGAGCAAAAGTTCTAGATGGAGGCTCAAGCACAACTAAAGAAGGCGCAAGAGAGCCTCTCCAAAGAGCAGATGGAGAGGGTCCGCGTCGGAAGCCTCCTCTCTGAGGCTGAACAATGCTTCAAACAACCCAAGGGAGATGTTGTCGAGGCAAAGAAATGAGTTGCTGAGGCAGAGAGGAGGGTCAAGGAGGCAGTGAAGCGGGCTGCGGAGGCCGAACGGAGAGCTGATGTCATTGAGAAGAGGGTCTAGTAAGCGGAGAAGCAGACCGAGGAGCTGGCTGATCTCGTGTCCAAGGCTTATTTTGACGAGATTGAGGATACCAAGAAGGTGCTCGTGGTAGTGCTTCCCGACTTCAACACCAGATCTTTGAAGGTGATCCTTGACTCTCCTGAGGAGGCTGCCGACTCTTTTCTTCCCCTTTCGACAAGTGGCGAGGCCTAGGCTAGGCTTTTCTTTTTCTCTTATTCCTCTCCTTTTTTTTTGACATTGTACATGCGTTTGGCCTTGGGGGCCATGAAAGAATTCTTGTATAGCCAATTTTTTTAATGTAATGAGAACCAGTGGCAGTTTTTTAACCTCATTTCGAGCACTTGTCTTTTGCTATGTTATTTTTCCTTTGCTTGTTCTGTTGCCTTATTTTTCCGCCGGGGGGTCCTTGCCCCCCTCCTAGTAGAAAGATCACAGAGTGACACTCTAAGTATTTACTAAGGCGAGGCCGAGGCGAAGCGAGAGCTCGTCTGGATTTCTTCCTTTACTTCGGCTTATTATACGCATGCCTTAGATGTGTAGCGGAGGGCAACTGAGGCAGAGCCGTACAGTCGAAGTGTGGTCCGCCTAGCCTAATTTCCCTCTAAGTGTTCACTTAGGTGAGACTGAGGTAAGATGACCTTCCTGATACTTCGGCAAGATGACCTGTCGAGCTGAGGCTGGGGCCAAGGCAAAGTTGAGGCTCGCTTGGCTCCTTCTTTCCTAAGTGTTTGCCTCGGCGAGGCCAATGGGGTCTGTCGTACGGAGGGAGTGGCTAAGAAGGAGCTAAGGCTCACTTGGCCCCATCTCCCCATGTCTGTTTCGATGAGGTCTTATGCAATGTTCTGAGGAAGCTGCTGTCCTTTGCAAATAGAGCTAAGCATGAAAGTCTAAGAGGCTAGTCGCTGCCGAGGTGGGGCGTTGGGGTGCGTAAGGCCTCAGCCATCCTGGTATATTCTGACGTGTCATTTGGCTAGGGTGTTTGCTACTTAGTCGTTTAAGCCTTGGCGTTGGTTTGGCGAGAGGGCTCTACCTTTGGAGAGGTCATGCGCTTTTGCTAGTCGCGAAGCTGAAGAGTTGTAAGAACTTAGTAGGTACACGCATTGAGCATTGAGCTGAAAAGGATTTTTGCTTCATTCATCTAATCATTCCAAAAAGACATTACAATTACTTGTAGTACATCTGGAGATTCTCCGAGTTCCGTGTCTAAGGGACAGGTCTTCCATCTAGGTGTTCTAGGCGAAAGGTGCTAGCGCTGACGTCTTGTTTGATCTTGTAGGGGCCTTCCCATTTGGGACTCAGCTTTCCCACTCCAGGTTCGGGGATCATGACCTTCCTGAAGACGAGATCTCCTTCTTGATAGTGCCTTTCTTTTACCCTGGAGTTGTAGTAGTGGGTCACTCATTGCTAGTAAGCGACTATCCTCACTTGTGCTTGCTCTCGGGCTTCTTCTAGCAGATCCAAGTTTGCTCTGAGGGCTTCACTGTTTTCGGCTTCATTGTATGCCTCAACTTGGAGTGTCGGCTGGCCAATTTTTGCTGGGATCACTTTTGTGCCATAGGTCAAGCCGAAGGGGATTTCACCCGTGGCTGTCTGAGGTGTGGTTCGGTAAGCCCAGAGTACGCTATTTAGTTCATTAGCCCATAGGCCCTTTGTTCGATCTAAACTGGTCTTCAGCCCATCTAGTATCGTCCTATTGGTGACCTTGGCTAGGTTGTTGGTTTGGGGGTAACCTACTGAGGTGTATTGTTGTCTTATGCCTAGGGAGGCGCACCACTCCCGGAACTTAGCGTCATCAAACTATTTCTCATTGTCGGTGACCAGCATGCAGGGTAGGCCGAAGCAGCAGATAATGCTTTTCCAAAAGAATTTTTGGATTGCTTGGGCCATAATGGTGGCCAAGGGCTTGACTTCTACCCACTTGGTGAAGTAGTCTATGGCGACAAGGTACTTCTTGCCCCCCGTGGCTTGAGGGAAAGGGCCAAGGAGATCCATGCCCCACTTGGCGAAGGGCTAGGGGCTGTCGAGGGTCGAGAGTGGTGGTGGCCGGTTGATGGCATAGGTTGGCGTGCCTCTAGCATGAGTCACATTTTTACACCAGTTTGACTGCGTCCTTATGGAGGGTCGGCCAGAAGTACCATTGCCTTAAAGTTTTTTGGGCAAGGGCCCTCCCACCGAGGTGATTGCCGTAGATGCCTTCGTGAATTTCCCGTAGCACATACTCGCTCTCCTCTAGATAGAGGCATCGAAGGTAAGGCTAGGTGAAGGATCTCTGGTATAGTTTTCCCTCCAACAAGGCACATAGTGGGTTGCCTGATGTCTGTGTTGTTTTGCCTCGTTCCTATCTTCGGGCAATTGTCCTGTTGATAGGAAGTTGATGATGGGATCCATCCATGACGGCTCAACCTCTATTAGGAGTACTTGGACTTCTTCAATGGAGGACCGAAGTAACTTCTCGACATGCACAATTCAGCCGAGGACTCCGTTCGAGGTGTTTGCCAACTTGGAGAGGGCATCGGCCCTTACGTTCTCGGCTCGTGGAACCTGTTGCAAGGAGAAGAGCTGGAAGTGGTAAGCTAAATCTTGGACTTTGGCGAGGTTCTTGGACATGCTTTGTTCTCTGGTCTCGTACTTGCCGTTTACCTAATTCACCACCAGTTGAGAGTCGTTAAAGGCATCGACATGTAAGGAGCCGAGGTCCCTAGCAAGCTGTAGGATAATGAGGAGGGCCTCGTACTCGGCTTCGTTGTTTGATGTTGGGAAGTCAAACCTTAGTGCATACTCTAGGGAAACATCATATGAGGTGAGAAGAATGAGGCCCGCTCCGCTTTCTTTAGAGTTGGAGGAGCCGTTAACAAAGATATTTCATCGGGAGTGAGCCTCATTGTTCATGTGATCCCTTTCAGCGTTCTCCATAGTCTGGCGAAGGGCTCAACTGAAGGTGCATTCCACTATGAAGCCTGCTAAGGCTTGTGCCTTGATTGTGGGCCTCGGCTGGTACTAGATATCAAACTTAGAGAGCTCGATAGCCCACTTCGTCAGGCGTCCTGAGGTCTTGGGCTTGGCCAGGACAGCCTTGAGGGGCTAGTTTGTCAGGACCACTATTGAGTGAGCTTGAAAGTATGGCCTAGGCTTCCTAGTCGAAACCACAAGGGCGAAAGCCAACTTCTCTATTTCGGGATACCTGGTTTTGGCGTCGCAGAGGACCTTGCTGGCATAATAAACAGGTTTCAGCATGCCATCTTGCTTGATTAGGACTGAGTTGACTGGTTCATCCCTGGCCGAGATGTACAGGTATAGGGTCTCCCCCTCAGTCAGACGGGTGAGGAGGGAAGGTGAGGTGAGATATGCCTTGAGCTCATCGAAGGCGTGCTGGCATTCTCCGTCCATTGAAAAGTTTTTAGCTTCTTGATGGCGCGGAAGAAGGGTAGGCAGCGATCAACTGACTTTGACATGAAGTGATTGAGGGTTGCTATCTGACCGGTGAGCCTTTGGGTTTCCTTCACCGTCCAGGGAGGCACCATGTTTAGTATGACTTGTATCTTCTCGGGGTTATCCTCAATGCCTCTTTGAGTGACGACGAAACCCAAAAATTTGCCTGATGTGACGCCGAAGGCTTACTTGCTAGGGTTAAGCTTCATCTTGTACCTTCGCAAGGTGTCAAAGGTCTCGGCTAGGTCTGTAACATGGGTCTCAGCTTTCAGGCTTTTTACTACCATGTCATCCACATAGGCTTCTACGTTCCTCCCCATCTGATCTTTGAACACCTTGTTAACAAGGTGTTGCTAGGTGGCCCCGGAATTTTTGAGATCGAAGGGCATCACTTGGTAGCTATATGTGTCATGCTCAGTGATGAACGAGGTCTTCTCCTCATCGTCTGGGTGCATCTTTATTTGGTTATATCCGGAGATGGCATCCATGAAGCTGAGTAATTCGTACCCTACAGTGGCATCAACGAGGTGGTCTATCCTCGGAAAAGGAAAACTATCCTTGGGGCAAGCTCGGTTGAGGTCTATGATATCAATACAGATCCGTCATTTCCCGTTAACTTTCTTTACCATAACCACATTTGACAACCAGTTAGGGTAGTGTACCTCTCGGATGAAGTTGACGTCGAGTAGCTTCCCAACTTCCTCTTCTATGGCCTTCCATTGTTCCAGTGCAAAGTTCCTCTTCTACTGCTGGAATGGCCTAGAGCTCGGGTCTATGCTCAGCCTGTAAGTAATGACGGAAAGGTCAATTCCGAGCATGTCAGCGGCAGACCAAGCAAAAATGTCAGCGTTATGTATGAGGAAGCTTACCAGTTGGAATAGGCTCTCGAGGGGAAGGTTGGACCCGACGTGGACAATTTTTTGGGCTCGTCCTCGTCTAGGGGGATCAAGGCGAGGTCCTCGGCCGGTTGCCCTCAACTTGCTGGTTCCTCCCTGAGGTCAAGGCCCTCTAGTGGTAGAGCTTCTTTATTCTTGCCATTTAGTGCGACCACATAACACTAGCGGGTGGCATGTTGACCCCCACGAATAACTCTGATGTCGTGTTCGGTGGGGAACTTGAGAGCGAGGTGGTAGGAGGAGATGCTGCCCGGAGTGCGTGAAGGGTTGGTCTTCCCATGATTGTGTTGTAGGGTGAGCCAACCCTTACGAGCAAGAACTCTGTCATCCTCGTCCCCTGTTGGAGCTCTGTCCCTACTGTGACTGGTAAGGTGATCTTACCCTCTGGTTTGACAACATTGTTGGAGAAGCCAACTAGTGGGACGTCCGTTGGTTGAAGGCGCTCCGGTGCTATCTTCATCTTCTCAAAAGCTTCGTAGAAGAGGATATCGACAGAGGAGCCATTGTCAACGAGGATCCTCTTAACTACGAAGTATGTAATGATGGTCGAAACCACTAGAGTGTTGTCGTGGGGGACTGCCACCCCCTTCAAATCCTCATCCGTGAAGGAGAGGGTCTCTTTCTGCTTCTTCCTCTTGAGAATCGGCCCCTGGATGCTTAGCTGCCTGAAGTAGGCCTTGCGAGCCAAAGCCGAGGCTGTGCCTCCGGCTATGATGTTGATGACGCTGACTATTTGTTGATGTTGTTGTTGAGTGGACGAGGCGCCAGCCTCGCCTCCAACGTACTGCTTGAGGTGGCCTTGGCATATGAGGGACTCTATTTCATTCTTGAGATCATAACAGTCTTCTGTATCGTGGCTAGTGCCTTGATGGAATTTGTAGTACTTTTTTGGGTTCCCCCTTCAGGGATTCTTCTTCAACTTCTCAGGCCACTTCATGAATTTCTCCTCCTCGATCTGCATCAGAATCTGTGTGTGGGTGGAGTTGAGTGGCGTGTACTGGTAATAAGCCAGGGCCGAGGCCGGTGGCTTCTTGTTGTTCTTGCTGTTGCCATTGTTGCGGTCGTGATCTCCATTCTTTCTCTTCTTCTCTGGGTCTTTGTCCCGGTGCTCGGTGCCCCTTTCTTGAATATCACCAACCAAAGCCTCTTTGACTACAGTGTACTTTTGGGCCCTCTCAAGGAACTCCAGTTTTGTCTTCGGCTGGCTTTTGGCGATTGAGTACTTGAGGGCCAAGCTAGGGAGGAGTTCGCTGATGGCGGTGTGCATGGAAACCATGGGGTTGAGGTCATGGACCTCGAGCTCTTCCTTCTTGAAGCGATCGATGTACGACCGTAAACTTTCTCCTCGCTTCTGCTTAACTGTCATTAGCGAGACAACACTCTTTTGGGCTCGTCGACTGCTGATGAAGCGAGCAAGGAACAGGCTAGAGAATTGCTCCCATGAGTTAATGGACTGAGGTGGGAGGCTTGAGAACCACCGTCGAGCGGCTCCCTTGAAGGTTGCTTGGAAAGTTCGGCATGTCAAGGCATCGGAGTATCCATATAGGATCATGAGTGCCCTAAAGCTCTCTAGGTGATCATTCGGGTCTGTGTTCTTGTCGTACCTCTCCAAGGTGGGAGCTTTGAAGTTTGGGGGTAATGGCTCGGTGATGATGTCGGGGGAGAAGACATTCATTCTCCCCATAGAGTTACTCTATCCAGTCGAGGTGTCAGTTTGGCCTTCCTTGACTTGTAGGAGCTCGACTTTGACAGTGTCGAGCTCTGCTTGCAGTTCGGCGAATTGAGGGTTGGGCATGGCCTACGCGCCATCTCGGTCTTCGTAGATGCGGTGGGGGTCAGTGCGGACTCCAAAGTGTTTCGAGGCAAGACCACGCACCTCGCGCTTGATGCGACAGTCGTTCAGGATGTCCCAAAGATCCGAGACGTGAGGGGAAGAGGCTCAGCGTCGACCCTCAGCCCTAGAATGGGCATTGGGGCGACCACAACGCCCACCTTCATCCCTCGAGTTTGGCCTTCAGCACCGGTGATGTTGCTCGAAGGGCTGAGCTATTCTCAGATTGTGCTGGTTCCTCCTCCCTTCGGCTGGGAGGTTGGGAGTTCCTGGGATGCAGGCTGGTTGGGCGACTACTGCTAGACTCGGAGGGGTCGATCTGTGGCATGTGGTTGGGGCCGACGGCTAGCTGGCTTGCGGATCGAGCACGACCTGGAATTGTTCACTAGTGACAAGGTTCTAGGTGTTCCTATCTCTTTGCACCATGGTGATTGGAGCTTAAGGACTTCTTAGTTTGTCATAATTCTTTAGGGGATCGTCTTAGCAACGTTTCCCATAGACGACACCAATTGTTGATGCTCGGATTGGCTGAGGACAACAATGTAAATTCACCCCTAGTCTCTGGAAGTGGGCCGAAGGCTTCGAGGGCTTGGAGATGATGTGTTGAGGCCGAGGGCTGTAGGCTGAGGCTGATGGTGTACCGAGTTCCGTAGAAGCCGAGGGTTGGTAGCTGAGGTGCTACAAGGCAAAGGATGTCAGAGGCCTCAGGTGAGAACTCGAGGCGGAGACTCTGACGGTCAAGTCAATATGAGGGTACGAAGAGGGGAATTAAGTACATACGAGGGATTCGAGGTGGCTGCTCGTAGATGCTGAATTCCCAAGGTGAGGACACTTAAGTTCTGTAGTAGGATTAGATTTCAGGATCAGGATCCCTCACCTGGAGGGGGGTACCCCCTATTTATACTTGAGGCGTCTGGAGGTTGGTGGAGATGAACGCCTTAAGTGGGAGCTGTACGAGGGCAGTTAGTGAGCTCTGCGGGGACACATGGGTGCTCCGCAATTGGTTCCATATAAGGGATGCAGGGTAGCCCCTGATGTGGCTAGTCGCGTCCTTGGTTCTGGTGTTCGTGGGCTGGGCTGGGCCACCCTACATCAGAGGATGAGATGTTCTCCATGTGTGACTGCAATGTTATGTGAGTAGACGTGGGCAAAGTTTGTGTGGGCAGGAGATCTAGACTCACTAATGTCAATGTTGCACTGCATTGATGTTGCCAATTACTGGTGCGGATGCAATTTCTCTGATAGATCAATGCCTCTCCCTTAGGTGGGCTCAATGCTATGGTCACCGTGAAAACTGGAAACCGGTGATCTTTTTGAATCCTGGTTAAATGACAGCTTTGGTGGTTTTCGAATTTTGGTTTGATTAAAATTCAGAATTTAGTCAAAATCTGTTGACTTTGTCAAAACCATCTGAATGTATGTTCAAACTTTTGGAGGCCATAATTTTGTGTTCAGATATCTGATTGAGGTGATATTCTTATGTTGGATAACTTTTTTAGATCTATGTATCCCACGGTGCTGAATTCCGTTATTTTTTTGTCAAAAAAATTGTCCTCGCAAATTTTAACATTTTTTATAAATAAATAAAATTAAAAATATAAATAATGCATATATTAGATATAGAATGTAATTATACATACGTGCATAAATACATAGATACATATTAATATCTTTTTTAAAACCTTGCTGTTGGGCATTCCAGTTTTTAGTCTACTCCAAGTCTCAAAAACATTGGTACTATATACCAATATATTTTCCTTGTCCACCCATCATCAAAGACACAAGCATCTCTATTCTAGATTTTTGGAAGGATTTATCAATCAACATATTGATCATTTATTGATCATCAACATCTTTTCCCTGCGCACATAATTCGCCTTTTATTTCCTACTTCTCTTGATCGTTTATTGCTGACTTTGACCAGTATAGTTGCTATCCAGAGAATAAGAAAAAAATAAAAAAAAGAGTATTGTTCTTTTGTGATATTTGAATGAAACGCTCAAACCAACCGGTCTACCAGAATGAATGACGGTTAGGCGGTTACTAAACGTCTATTGATTGACTTGTAGCTGGACCTACTTACTCATGCGTCATACCTTTATCAAACCAAGAAGAGAAAAAGGAGAAACAAGAAAAAGGGAAAAGAAGCCTCTCCATCTCCACAAACAAAAGCTCTGGTTGAGGTTTGATCTTTAATTCATGCCATGTAATAATAAAGGTTCACCATGGATGAGCTTCTGCTCTCCAAAAAAGTATTGCCTGAGGAGTCTAGCACAGTACCACTGAACAGGGATTTCATCTCCTCTGCTGGGCTTGATCATGGTTCATCCTTGTGTCAACCTCCGGCCTATATTCTCAATACAGAAGCCATAGTTCCTATTTTCCCACCACAGACCACTCGATCAGCGGCGAACAGTTCTTCTTCCTTTGTCAATTTCATAGCCAATTTCGGTAGAAGGAAGGAGCTTAAGCGTAAGTCCCATTCGGCCCCCTCCTTATTAGCTGATCAAATTGATGTTCCCTCCAGTTCTGTGGAGCAGTGCCCCGCCCCCCGATCGACCCCTTCTATTGTTCGTCAAGCCTTGATCGGTGTGGTCTTGTATATCATGGTTGGTGTTTCCATTTATATGGTGAGAAGTGGAAGTTTCACTGGTCATTCTACAGTCAGATTAGTAGATGCATTGTATTTCTCTGTAGTGACTCTCTGCACCACAGGATATGGAGACATTGTGCCTGATACTACCTTCACCAAGCTATTTACATGTGCATTTATCCTAGTTGGTCTCGGCTTCATCGATATCTTGCTCCATGGGCTGGTGACATACATGCTTGATCGGCAAGAGACTGTGTTATTGAGTGCAGTCGACGAAAATCGATTTCATACAATGTTCAGGACATACATAATAGACACTGAAAAGGGTAGGATGAGGATAAGGATGAAGGTGGCATTGGCATTGTTTGTTTTGTTTGGCTGTATTGCTATAGGGACGATCATGGTGCATGTCCTAGAGGGATTGAATTGGACAGATAGCATCTATTTATCTGTAACTTCTGTGACAACAGTAGGGTATGGGGACTATGCCTTCAAGACAGTAAAGGGTAGGTGCTTTGCAATAGTTTGGCTATTAGTCAGCACACTAGCTGTTGCCAGGGCCTTCCTGTATCTAACAGAGCTTAGGATTTACAAGAGAAACCGAAAGATTGCTAAATGGGTTCTTCAGAAAAGGATGACTCTTGGTGACCTGATGGCTGCAGACCTTGACAATGATGGATCTATTAGGTATGTTCAAGATTTCTGTTAGCTCTCCTCTTAAGCTTACATTTATGTTAATGAAATTCCTGATTACATTGGCTTTTGCAATTTTATCTTCCTATGCATCTATAAACTGATCCTAGTTGATTGTCTGGGAACAGATTAACTTGATTCAAGTAATAAGAAATGATTTAAGGTCCATAATTTAGTGGTGGATATGACACTAAACAGAATGGAATGACCAAACAGGATACAGTTGGGACAATGCTTAGATGCATGATAATGATGAGATTCGCTTGATTGAACCATAATCTATGGAACTACTTCCCTGATTAATCCTGGTAATCAAACACCTTTCATGGGAAGTGATGGTTCTTTAACATACCTGATTTCCAGATTCGTTCATTAATTAGTCTCATTTATTAATCAAGTTTGATTTGCATTTGTTCATTTAATCATGCCTGGTTGTCACTAAACTAGTAGTCATTGTTATTATATTCTATCAATAGGATAGCAACTTTCAGCAATCCAACTGTTGCCTTGTTACAGAATTGAATTGTTTATTGCTTACCCAAGAACAGATTTTTTTTTTTTTTTTTAATTTAGTTTCTGGGGTTCAAGTTCTCAAGGTTCAAATACAATCACTGTTGACTATATCAGGTGATGACTGATAAAATAACATTAAACAAGGAAGACATCAAGATATTCATCTAATTTGGTATATCCTTTCACTTAGTTTTAGCTAATCAGTTCTAAATAATTTTCCTAGTTGATCTTATTGGGATCTTCTATTCATTCATTCTGTCTTCAGTCTTGGGCACCAGATGCTGTACTCATGATCTGAGAAAAATGGTGTGGACCCAAATTGTCCCTTATTCCATTGAATCTAGATCGAATGGGAGGGGTCTAGCTCATAAATTCAGAGCTACCTATCTACAACTTCTCTATGGGGAAAGGGGATGACACCCTTATGTGAAGACTCTTGTCCGGTGGCAATTGATTGTGAGGAGAGTGGATTACATTTAATTGTCCCTAGCTTTTGGGGTTATCTCAATCAGCTATTTGGGGCCATGCTGCATGAACCTTTCTCCATTATTAAAAGGCCCTAAATGGCTCCATGTGAGGTGGATCCAATTTTTTATTCAAGTATAAATGGATTGAATTCAGATCATCCTTGACGGATTGTTTCGAATTCGGATGGGTATATATGCCCCCTAGGACTGTCAATAGGTCGGATCAGACCCGATAGACCCGGACCAATGGGACCTGTTCTGATTTTAGAACTTTTTCCGATGGATCAGTTCCGGGTCTTAAAAAAAATTCCGATTACTATGGAGTCCGAACTGGCTTCATCTTGTCCTGAGCTGATTTAGACCCTACCCAACCCTATTTATACTATTAAATATATGTATTCATCATACTATGTCATATTCAAATAAGGTGGGGCTAATTGGCTAAAAGTGTCATTTCGGGTGGGATTTTTTTAAAACCCTAAACCCTGCTGAAATGCTGCCCCCAACCCCCTAACCCCTTTTCAAGTTTTTGTTTCTGAAGAGTAAAAGACTCAGAAGGTTAAAGGCTGGAGGCTGGTGGCACATCGGCCATCTGTTTGTTCGTCATTCATCCGTCCAACGACCGTCCCATCAACACTACCTTTGTTGAGTGCCTTGAATCGCATAACACTACCACAGTAACACAGTTCGTCCATTGTCCGTCCATTCAATGACCGTCCGTCAAGGCGTCAACAGTAACTTCCCTTTCTTAGGTAGGGTTTAACATCTTTAGGTTTTTACCCAAACTTTGTTGCTTGTAATCGAGTGAGATATATACACATACGTTAGACTGAGTTTTTCAATTCCATGAAATTCTTTTCCCGTTGATGAAGACGGAAATGGTTTCATTAGAAAGCTATCACAATTCCCACATTCAGAAATCAAAGAAGAATTAAAAGTTCTGAAAAATCTAAATCGAATCCAGAAACGTCACAAGCGGGAAACAGGGCATCGACGTCACTGGTAGACAAACGGGAGAGTTGAGTCCCTAGTTTATTAGTTTATTGGGGGTGAGAAAAAAATCGAAGAACCGAATCAATCAAACCGAACTGAAAAATCGGTTAATTAAATTGGTCGGTTTGGTATTTTAACTAATACAAAATTGGTCGGGAGAGTTGAGTCCCTAGTTCAGTTTTGGTTAACTAATACAAAAAACCGGCATTTAACCGAATCGACCGGTATACAATATATTTTATATATATTTATGTATATTATATATATTTTTTATATTTTTATATATTATAAATTAATAAATATGCATTATATATATAAATATATATATTTATAATATATGATATGCTATTTATCATTTAAAATATATTATTTTATATATATTTATAATTTTTTATTATATATTTTTTATAATATATATTGTTAAAAAATAAAAAACTGAAAAACCAATGGTTAACCGAACCAGTCAATCAGTTAACTGATAGGTTTCGGTTATCGATTTTCCAAAAACTGATACTACTGGTTTGGTTACAGATTATGCCCCACAGTTCGGTTAACCAAACCGTGAGCACCCCTATAGTTTATGATAGAAGGGTTAATTTTAGAATTGGTATGGACCCGATTGTCCCAAGAACCGATCAATTCGGTTTTGGGTTCAAAATTACATACCCTATAGGGTCTAGGTCGAATCTGGGTCCATGGGTTCTCTTATCGGTTCCAAGACGGGTTCTACTAGATTTTGACCTAGAACCGACTCATTGACAGCCCTACCCCCCCCCCCTATGTCGAGAAAATGGAATCTAATGGGCTGCTAAAGAAATGGCATCTAAGCATGTGAAGCTCATGTAGCCCAAACCCTAAATTTGGTTCATGTGGTACTTGTGAGCAATGTTTAGAAAACCAGACCGCATTGGCCGGTCAAGCCGTTTGAATCGTGACCCTAGGGTCCTAACCGGTTCGGTTACACCCAATAACTAGACTTGTTCAAAACCCATTGAAAACCAACTGATTGGTCAGTTTAATCGAAAAACCGGTGAAACGGTCCCAATTTCATGAAATCGCTTGGGTCCATACATTAGTGAAATTTTAAAATGTTGTTAATAGGATTTGAACTCAAGACCTCTCATTTTCACAGATTACTTAATTACCATTAAATGACTATTTATTGTACATATTACATTATTATGAATGTATTTTAAAGAAAATATAAGTTAAAAGGCTTGGACCGTAGTCATTTGTTTTAAAAACTAAGAAGCTTACCATTCCTCCACTATATTTATGTACATTAAAAGTAGTAAAATATATTTATATAGTACTTATATGACCTGTAGTATATATGTATATGCCACACCATCACAATTCGACATCGATTGAACCTCTAACCCATGAACCTCTCCCTTCTCCAGTTTTATGCCAGTCCGGTCTTTTGAACATTGCTTGTGAGTGTAATGATGACAATGCTCTCTCTCTTTCTAGACATCATATGAACTCTCTTTCTCTCTTATGATTATAATGACTTTTTAGTTCAATTAATTAATTTAAATTTACCTATCAAAAAAAGTAATTAATTTAAATTAAAAATAATAATTTCAATAACCCCATACAAATTTCGTTAAAATATTTTTAATTTCATTTTTTATATTTTTTACTATTTTTTGAATAAAAATGGAGAGGGAGAGAGACAAAGGGGTTATCTAGGCCTTGGTGCTAGGAGAGAGAGAAAGGGGTTTGTGTAGGACTTGTTGTCATAATGGAGACCGGGTTTGCTCCTAACATAGAGCGCCTTACTCAGTCCTCACACACACATTGTACCATGCATTAAGAACATCTCTTGTACTTATAAATTATTATTCACGGGAGATGTTCCAATGAACAATGGATGTGCATCTGAGGCGCCCCCATGTGAGGAGTAGATCCCTTCCGTTATAATGGGAGAGGGGGAGGGAGGGAGAGGAGAGGAGAGAGGGGGATTGTGTGGGACGTAATAGACCCGATGTTATGGGAGAAAGAGAAAGTTGTGTGGGACCCAAATGGGGCCTAATGTTAGGAAGAGAGAGAGGGATTATGTGGAATCCTACATCATAATTGGGGGGAGGGGGTTGTCTGGGGTTGTCTGGGTGGTGAGCTGGATCGGTCTACAAAACAATGAATTATAGAACCCGGGGTAGCTAACCCGGCAAGGGTCACTCTGATGCTTAAGTCAGTACTTATGTTGTGAATGCGAGCTGAATGCTTGAGAGCTTAAGTGCTAGTGAGTAAAATAATCACGCGTACCTTTGTCTTGAGGTTTCATGTCTTTATATACTAGAGTAGTTGTGGGCCTTACGAAAGAGCTCTGGGATCTCCAGTCTGTGAAGATAAGGTTTGTTCCGTTTTTGAAGGAGAGTAATATGTTGATAAGGTTTATCGTTTACCTTCGATTCAGGCGGAGCCGGGACGAGTTCTCACCGTGATCTCAGGAAATTCGGGATCTGTTGGTCCATCGTGATCTTGAGAAATTTGGGATCTGTTGGGGTGGCCTTTGGAGTTGGTTATGTGGCGTTTCGGCTCATTAGCTCCGAGCTGGAACTTCGATTTTTTAGTCCCGAACTGGATTGGGTGTTGAGGTGCCTCTACACCGAGGTGGCTGAATACCCGAGCTCCGAATGTTGCGAACTGGGTTCGCCTGGCTGAGTTGTCACCCCTCGATCAGATCGCGCCCACGTGTCCCCTTCTTGCTAGGTCGTGCCAAATCATCCTTCATCAATTGCCCCCCACTCCTTGTGCCAGGGGTCCCAACCCGGTTCGGGGAGTTCATGACGAGTCCAAGTGGATTTGGCACGAAGTCTAGACGACTTGAAGGGAAAACCATTGGATGGGCCTGTTTCAACCATGAAATGACCCAAGTTGCGTCTCAGCCACGCGCGAACGTCACACTGTTTATAGACTTCGTGGACGTCAAAACACGCGCTAAATCGATTTCAACATCGGGGGGCGTGCAACCGGTTTCCTTAGGAGCCGTCGGATTGTGTTGATCTTGACCATTGATTCCCGGATACACTGGCTGTAAATAGAGGCCAAAGGGCTCATTTTCCTTGCCACAAATCCGCAAATCCATGAGTTTTTTAGGTCGAGCTTAAGTCTTCCAGTTCACCATCAACCTTTTCTGGGTCCGAGGTCACATTCTTTTCTTCGGTCTTCCTTTTGGTGAGTCCACCTTCCTTTGCTTTTTCCTTTTGATTTCGTTGTCTTTTCCTTTAATATGTCTAGCCTTAGCTTAAATAGTCTTTTAGACGGGAGCGGTGAGTCCGCTGGGGCTGATGTGGGTACCTCGACTCAGATTGTGGATCCTCGTCCTACCGAGGTGGTCACTTCGGGACAAGACACGGTCCTCAGTCCACTCGGGGAGAACTCACCTCGGCGAGAGCAAGAGGCCTCTAGTAACTCGGCTTCCACCTCACACCGAGGTTGGCTGCTAGACAACTTCGGCCCGTCGGTAATGACGGCAGACAGGCTCCTGGCCTTAGTAGCCTGGTACAAACTCCCTAACGATCTTGTATATAGCATCCCCTTAGGCAACTTTCCTTGGGATCATGATCACAACGAGATCGTGATCTTCGAGGAACAGCTCGTAGTTGGTCTACGTCTTTCACTTCACCCCCTTATAATCGAGATCGTTATATTTTTTAACATTACCATAGATCAGCTACACCCGAGCTCTATTAGTAACATCATAGGGACCATTTCTTTTCCATGATTACAACCGTCCCCTTGACCTTGACGTCTTTTCTTCAATTCTTTCCATTAAGAAAAATTCGTTCTGTGTTCTACCCGAGCATAGGCGAACTTACTACTTGTCACCTCATCCTGAATATAAACTGTTGCACGAGCTCCCTAATAAGGTCCCAGCTTGGAAGAGGTGTTTCTTCGTGGTCCGCAACACCGAGGGGTGGCCCTTCCCGACCCATTGGAGGGCAGCCATTCAAGACACCGACGTTAGACTGGACCTGAAGAAAAGGGAGGAGGTCCGATCTTGGGTGGAACTCGGCCTGAAGTTCGAAGACTTCGTGACCGAGGAGAAGCTCGTGCAAGCCGACCTGATTCCTCCTGGTAGGTCGTTGTTTGTTGTACTTTTTCTATTCATTTTATTTTGGTATTGTATCTAACTTAGCTCGTTTTCATCGCAACTGCCATGGACGACATCCATACCGATGAGCTCTTCGGGAGCATGAAGAAGGGGAAGAAGAAGAAGAGAGCCTCCAAAAAGGCTTGCGTCGAGAGTGAAGTAGCCAGAACTGAGGTTGCCATTCCTGAGCCCGAACAGCCTCCCATGATCTATCTGGTCGGGGACTCGGGCAAACCCATCCCACCCCGCATGCATGAGGAGGCTACGTCTTTAGAGCCCATCCTAGTGGCTGCCACTTCTTCGGGCAGTGATTCTCCAATTCGGAGCATTCTGACTCCAAAGTTCAGCCTTCTCAAGAGCAAGGATGCGGTGTTCGCTGAGGAGGTCGCTCGTTGGGCCAACTTTCCAGTTGCTCAGCTCGGGGCTCGTGCGGCTACGCATTGTATGGTGGTACGTTCTTGAACTTGTCTTTCAAATTGTCTCGTACTTAGATTTTTTGTATACTAATACTCGTTTTCTTCTCTTGTCAGGTGAAGTCCTCCATCCATGACTTGGCTTATCAGTCCGAGGTGAACTTGAAGCAGGTTCTCAAAGCCGAGGAGTCTTCCCGAAATGCCCACGCCGAACTAAACTTAGCTCGCAACGAAATCAACCAACTGAAAATCGACACACAAGCTACGAAGGAGCTGCTAACTCTGCTAATGTCAGAGAAGAAGGAGCTCGAGGAGCGTGAAACGGCATTGAAGAGGGAGCTCGAGGACCTCGAGCCCGTGTGAAGGAACGAACCGAGCTACTGCTTCATGTGATGGAGGAGGCCAAGGTTAAGGCTGGTCGAGGCAGAGACAACGGGTTACCGCAAGGGATTCAAACTTAGCAGGTGGTTGATCGGACATAAATTTCCCCACCTCGACCTCAGTGCCATAACCATATCGAAGATCACCAAGGAGATGGCCATCGAAGCTACCAAAGATCCGGACTTCGAAACGAAGAGTGATGATGACCTGCTTGACGAGGAAGAGGAGACCGGTGCTGGTGAGGACCGTATAGAGACAAATCCTCCTGTCGAAGTCTCCAATAAGGATGAAGAGCCCCGAAGTGATTGAAGCCTCTTTTCTTGGACCCCCCCTCTTTTGTAATGCTCAATGTTCCAAGCCCCTGAGCTTGGTCAATTGTAATTTTTTTTTTGTACTTGAAGTTCTATATCAATGAAATACAAGTGTTTTGCAATCTTTGTGTACAAATTTTTTCTAAGTGTAGATTACTCTCGAGCTGGCGAACTAAACCAAATAGGAGTGAACTTTTTTCTAAGTATAGGTTACTCTCGAGCTGGTGAGCTCGACACTAGTAGGAATAATCTAATTGTCATTGTATGTCAGGGTGAACAGACACTGTAAGGTACATAACCGATTTGTCTATGCCTCGGTCACTTATTTGCCTAAGTGTCGGTTATACCTAAGTGTCAAGCCAACGAGCTTGACTCCAGGTGGGATTAACCTTACGTTGTCGTACGCCGAGGTGAATTAGACACCGTATGGTTTCCACCCGAGTTGTCAATGCCTCATAGGTGCTTAAGACTTGTCTGTCTATGCCGAAGAGGTGATAGGACTTGTCTGCCTATGCCGAAGAGGCAACTACAACTTGTCTACCTATGCCGAAGAGGCGACTAGGACTTGTCTGCCCATGCCGAAGAGGCGAATAGGACTTACCGTAATGCCAAGGTCTTTTGTTAGTTTGGCGCCATAGCCCTTAGGCTCCTAGGAGTGACTCATAGTCCTCTCTCCAGTTGGTCGTCTTTTTCGACTAGTTCGGTATTCACATAGACTTAGAGAAATTTTGCCCTAAAATCATGGGTTCATAAGTAATACCTTCTTAGGTTATCGACATTCCATACTCGAGGTACCTGCTTCCCTTCCAAAGTCTCAAGCTCATATGTGCCTTCCCCGAATACCCGCTTTACTCGGTATGAACCTTTCCAATTCGGTTCGACCTTACCAACGCCGGACTCAGGTACCATAACCTTTCGAAGAACCAGGTCACCAATGCGAAAGTGTCGTTTTGACCCGGGCGTTGTAGTACCGAGCTACTCTTTGTTGGTAAGCTATGATCCGAATGTAAGCAGGGTCTCGTACCTCTTCTACCAGGTCTAGGTTGGTACGAAGCTCGTCATTGTTCATTTCCTCATCATAAGCCTCCAATCGTAATGTGGGCACCTCTATTTCCGCCGGAATCACCGCTTCTGTATCATATGTGAGGTTGAAAGGGGTCTCTCCCATCGCGGTCTTAATAGTAGTTCAGTAGGCCCAAAGGACACTAAGTAGTTCGTCCACCCACAATCCCTTGGCTACTTGCCCGTTCGCCTGGGGGTGTGCCACTAAGGTAAAATTTTGTTGAATCCCCATTTCGGCACACCAGTTTTGAAACTTAACATCTTCGAACTGCTTCCCATTATCGGATATCAACACTCGAGGTAGTCCGAAGCGACATACTATGCTTTTCCAGAAGAAATTCTATATGTTGTGGGTTGTGATCGTTACCAAGGGTTCGACTTCCACCCATTTCGTAAAATAATCTACTGCTACGACCAAGAACCTCCTCTGCCCTGTTGCTGTTGGGAAAGGACAAAGGATGTCGATTACCCACTACGCAAAGGGTCACGGGCTGGTGAGGTATTTCAAATCAGCAGCAGGTTGATGGTGAATGTTGGCATGGCTCTAACACTTATCACATTTTTTGACGAGCTCGAGTGCATTTACCTTCATCGTGGGCCAATAATAGCCTTGCCTTAACACTTTCAGTGCAAGAGCTCTGCCCCCAAGTGTCCGGCGCACAAGCCTTCATGGGTGTCACGAAGTACATGCTCAGCTTTTGAGGGTTGCAAGCAGCGCAAATAAGGGAGCAAGAAAGATCTTTTGTACAGTTGTTTGTCTATGAGGACGTACTTAGCTAACTGGCGCTCTACTCTTCGGGCTGCATTGCGTTCTGCAGGTAGGGCCCTATGGAGTAGATAAATCACGAGTGGGTTGATCTAGCTCGGTTATGCTTGTGATACGGGAACGACCTTTTCTGCCCCCCCCTCCCGAGAATGTTGGGCCGTGGTAAGTCTTCTATGTACACAGTTCGCATGGTGTTGCTGCTCCTGCTAGCTAGTCACGACAAGGCATTGGCCTCAGCGTTCTCGGACCTCGGAATTTGTCTGATGAAGCAGGAGATGAAGTTGCACAGGATCTCTCTGAATTTGACCAAGTAAGCTGCCATAGTGGGTCATGGGCTTCATACTCACCAGTGACTTGGTTAACCACTAGTTGTGAGTTGCTGCATACGATGAGGTGCTTTGCTTTCATTTCCCTTGCTAAGGTTAACCTAACGACCAACGCTTCATATTCTGTCTCGTTGTTCGATGCCTCGAATCCGAACCGGAGAGCATATTCCAGCTTCACTTTGCTTGGGCCGTACAGTATCAGTCCTGCACTGCTTCCCTGTTGGTTGGACGAGTCATCGACGTGGAGGATCCAGGGCTCCTCGTCGCAGGTCGGTTCCACTCTGACTGGGACTGGCGCCACACTAGTTAAAGCTCCCATCGTGTGAGCGAGCTCGGCCAGCTCGAGGGTCACTGTGCTAAATGTGCATTCTGCTACAAAATCGATAAGACTTAAGCTTTGATTGCTAACTAAGACTCATACCGGATATCGTATTCACTCAGCTCGATGGACCACTTCGTTAATCTCCCAGACACCTCGGGCTTAAGCAAAATCTGCCAAGGGATTTGTTGGTGAGAACGACGATAGTGTGGGCTTGGAAGTACGGGCGAAGTTTTGGGCTGCTACGATTAGTGCACATGCTAATTTCTCGATATCTGGATATCTAGTTTCTGCATCCTACAAAATTTTGCTAACATAGTAGATGGGTCGTTGAACCGATCTACTTCTTTGATCAGTACCGAACTAACCACTTCATCACTTGCAGAGAGGTATAGCTTTAACACATCCCTTCTCCGGGTTGACTTAAAATTGGGGCAGTACCTAAGTATCTTTTCAGCTCGTCAAAAGCGAGTTGGCATTCTTCAATCCATTCGAAGTCCTTACTCTTTCTTATTTCTTTAAAAATGGGTAGGCACCGGTCTGTCGATTTGGACATGAAGCGGCTCATGGCGGCTATCCGGCCAGTCAGCTTCTGAACCTCTTTTATTTTCCGAGGTGGTCTCATATCTAGAATGGCTTATTTTGTCTGGGTTGGCCTCAATGCCACGTCGGTTGACAATATAGCCTAGAAATTTACCCTAAGTGACTCCGAAGACGCACTTATTTGGATTTAACTTCATGTTATATCTTCGTAAAATTTGAAAAACATCTTCTAAATCATTCAATAGAAAATTTGAAAATTGGGTCTTCACAACCATGTCATCAACATAGCATTCTACTTTTCTGCCGATTAACGGCTCAAAAATCTTATTTACAAGGCGCTGAATTGTTGCCCCAGCATTTTTCAATCTGAAGGGCGTGACCTTGTAACAATATAACCCAAGCTCAGTTATGAAAGCGGTCTTCTCTTTGTCAGCAGGATCCATCCTAATCTGGTTGTAACCTGAATAGGCATCCAGGAAGCTCAACAACTCATGCCCTGAGGTCGCGTCCACTAGGCGGTTGATCTTGGGTAACGGGAAGCAATTTTTCGGGTAAGCTCTATTCAGGTCAGTGTAGTCGACACACATGCGCCACTTGCCATTGGCTTTTTTCACCAGAACTGGGTTAGCCACCCAGCTCGGGTAATTGACTTTCCTGATGAAGTCTGCCGCGAGGAGCTTCCCAACCTTTTCATCGACTACCCTCCAACGTTCCGGGGCGATGTTGCGCTCCTTCTGCCTTACTGGCCTGACTAAAGGGTCGGTATTAAGTTTGTGAATTATAATGTTTGGGTCAATCCCGGGCATCTCTTCTGTGGACTAAGCAAAAATATTTAAATTATCAAGCAAGAAACTTACTAGCCGGGTTCAGAGTGGTTCGTTGGTCGAGGCACCGATCTAGAGAGTCTTGGCTGGTTCGGCGGCAAAGACTGGTATGTGGACCGTCTCCTCTTTCGGGGCAGCTCGTTCATCGGTATACTCCACTAGTCACTCAAGCTCGACATCCTCTACTAGCTTTGCTTTTCCTTTTAGGCAGCCACGTAGCACTTGCGTGACTCGAGCTGGTCACCTCGCACTCCCACTCCGTAATCAGTTGGGAATTTCATTGCTAAATAGTAAGTGGATACTATCGCGCGTAAAACATGCGTGATAGGCCGACCTACTATGGCGTTGTAGGGGGAGGGAGTAGCGACTACCAGGAACGTGTGCTCGAATCGCACGATGTTTAGCCACGTGCCGGCTTCCATAGGTACTGTAATTCGACCAAGAGGTCTGATCTCCTCACCGCTGAACCCTATCAGAGGCATATCCGCCTGCTTCAGGTCGCTCTTCTGTAACTGTAGTTTGTCGAAGGTCTCCTTGAAGAGTATATCTGCTGAGTTGCCTGAGTCCACCAAGATGCGCTTTACCTCGAAATCATTAATTCTTAACTTCACAACTAGGGCATCATCGTGAGGGTACTAGATCCCATGTACATCGTCCTCAGTGAAGTATATCGGTTCTTCGAGCCGAAGTCGCTTTGGCGGGTTTTCCTCTTCGCTCTCCAGTTCGCGGACCGAGGTCCTTCCAGCTATCGATCTGCATCCGGCAATGATGGATCCGTCGGTGATCATGTTAATTACCCCGCGAATTGGTCTTTCCTCCGGCAACTGTCGCGGTGGTTGTTCATTCTGCCTGCTGACCTCTGGGCCATTCCTCCTCTAGTCCCCCTGTCGATCTGCTTGTCGGTCTGCTTGTCCCCTCTCTTCTCGCAATATGAAGTTCTTCAGGTATCCACGGCGAATAAGTTTCTCGATCTCGTCAAGGAGATTCCTACAATTATCCATGTTATGTCCATGATCTTGGTGGAAATGGCAGTAGACATTCGGATTTCTTGTTGTTGGGTCTCCCCTTAGCCTGGGAGGCCATTTGACGAAGGAGGAGTCCTTTATAGCCATTAAGATCTCTCCTCGCTTGGTGTTCATAGGTGTGTAGCTCGTTCTCTCCATAGGTGGGGTCCTAGAACGCCGACCTGACTTGCGGGTTCGCAAGGGGGACCGACTTCTTGACTTGCTTCTCCCCCTGCTCGGGGACTTGGTTTTCTTCCTTTTCTGCCCACCATTGCTTGTTCCTTCATTCTCTCTCTTCCTCTTTTTTGGCGGTGGATTGTTGATCTTTTGGTTGATCTCCTCTTCGGTACCGATGAACTGATCTGCTAATTTGATAAACTCAGTGATGTCCTTTGGTTTGTTATCTACCACATGCCACTTAAACTCTTTATGGGTGATTCCTTTCTTTGCTGCAGTGATTCGTACCCCCGGGTCAAGGTCCGGTATCTACAAGCAAGTATCGTTGAAGCGCTTTATATATCTTCGAATCGATTCTCCCTCCCTCTGAACCACATTCAGAAGGCTTTCTTGTGACTTCGGGCACTTCTTACTGGTAATGAAGTGTGTAGTAAACAGGTCGGCAAACTGGGACCAGCTTTTAATGGAGCCCGGCGTGAGGTTCCGATACCAAGTTTGGACTACCCCCTTAAACGTAGAGGAGAAGGCCACACACATGCAGGACTCATCAGCCCCAACTAGGTGCATCTGAGGCTGGAAAGAGTCCATATGGTCATTGGGGTCAAACGACCCGTCATACTTGTCTAATGGGGGCATCTTAAAATCTTTTGGCATTGGAGTTGCAAAGAGCTTGGGAGATAGAGGAGATGACCAGCAAAGTAGTGGAGGCACAGTCTTCATAGCCACCGAACTCACTTCTTCCTTTCCTTTGGCTCACTCTTCTTGTTGGCCAAGAGCTCGGGAGATAGAGGGCTGCCTCTGGCCGAGGGGCGGCATGTCTTACGACGCCGTCGCTGCTACTTCTTCACTGGCTCGACGTTGGTGCTGCTAACTTCAGTTTGGTTTGGTACTTTGGCATTATCGCAGGGTAGGTCCTGGTTCCTTCTCGTTGGATTCTCTTGGTTGTGGGGCTCGAACTGGTTATCGTGAGGGACGGAGAGGTCTTGTGTCGAGTTTGCACCTCGAACTCCGAACTGGTTATTATCTATTCGCAAGCCGTCATTTTCTTGCTGGGAGTACCGAGGCGGATTGGTCCTGTTGGACCGAATATCCCCAAACCTGTTTCTGAGATTTTCTTGTGAGGCTGGACGAGTGTGCTGACCATCTCTCCTCCCATAGGGCGAAGCCTGACTCTTGAGAGGGATTGGTACTTGCGAGGTCTCTTCACCCCAATGGGGAGATTGGTTGATGTTCTAGTTGGTTCCAAGCCGATTCGGGTTCTGGCCCTAACGGGGCCCTGGGTGCCGGGGCGGAACCGGCTGCTGGTTCGGCTGCAGTGGAGGGAACTGATGCTGATACTGTTGGTACAGATAGTACTGCTGGAACTGTTGGACCTGTTGCATCTGGATCTGAATTGCCCGGATGCACTAAACGAGGTTGTGGAACTAAGAATGCCCGATTTCGGGAGGGAACCATTGATAGCTCAGAGAAAGTCACGCCTACCACTAGGGGAAGTGGGACACTCACTTGCGTGGTACGCTGTGGTGCAGACAGTGACGGGACTCCAGACACTATGAGCGGAATAGTAAACTGGCCGATGCATACCGTTGGACCTTGGGGGAAGGTTGATTGCTGGGCTTTCCCCCCGGTGACATTCATCTCGATGCTTTTTCTCGTGTGGCTGGAAGATGCCATTGCGGTTGCGATTGAGTTTGAAATTGTAAAGAAATAGGGATGACCTTTCGATCGAATTCCCACAGACGGCGCCAATTGATGGTGCGCGATCTGGCTTCTCCTAGCTGGAAGGCGATCTGAACTCCAACTAGGCGGTGAGTTGGACCAGTCTGCAAAACAGTGAATCAGAGAACCCGGGGTAGCTAACCCGACAAGGGTCGCTCCGATGCTTGAGTGCTAGTGATTAGAATAATCACACGTGCCTTTGCCTTGAGGTTTGTTGTCTTTATATATTGGAGTAGTTGTGGGCCTTACGAAAGAGCTTCGGGATCTCCGGGCTATGGAGATAAGGTTTGTTCCATTTTTGAAGGAGAGTAATATGTTGATAAGGTTTATCGTTTACCTCCGATTTAGGTGGAGCCGGGACGAGTTCTCATCGTGATCTCGAGAAATTCGGGATCTGTTGGGGAGGCCTTTGGAGTCGGTTATGTGGCGTTTCGACTCATTAGCTCCGAGCTAGAACTTCGATTCTTTAGTCCCAAATTAGATTGGGTGTCGAGGTGCCTCTACACCGAGGTGGGTTTTGGGCCGAGGTGGCTGAATACCCGAACTTTGAATGTTGCAAACTGGGTTCGCCTGACTGAGTTGTTACCCCTTGATCACATCGCACCCACGTGTCCCCTTCTTGCTAGGTCGTGCCAAATCACCCTTCATCACGAGTAATTTTCAATTCATACCCACCTATATCCAATTCAATTTGTTTGATCCATTTGTAGTCCCACTAGAGAGAGAACAAAGCAAGTTTGTAGCCTTGCACAATTTGTTTGTTTAGTTTGCTTTTGATACCTCGAAAATAAACACAAAAATACTTTGTCAAAGCTATTAAACCAAACAACCCAATGCAAATTGCAAATCGATTTTGGATTAACTAAACTCAAGCAGTGTGATCTGTGACGTGAGCTGAGTCAAACAGGACCTAACCAATCGTTTCATACTTTATTTGTCCCATGCTCCGGCCTTCCTGGAGATAGTGTCAAACCGTCAAACTGTGATCAGCTGGCGCCCAACGAGGATTCCTAGCTCCCCAACTGACCCAAAGCCACTCTTTCCCGCATTTTTTTCAGTTATATTTCCCGGCTTCTTCTTCGTCCATTCCAACTACCAAGCACCTCTTCTTCTTCTTCTTCTTCTTCTTCTTCTTCTTCTCTTCTCTTATTTTCTTTTTCTATTTAAATTTAATCTTTCTCTTTCTGTGACTCTGTTTCCTGGTTTCTGGTTTTTCCGGCTAACGAGAAGCAGTTTCCCGGCAACCCCAAATGGAGAGAGAACCCCTCCTTCCATGCGTAAGCCCCGGCAATAAACTATCCCCACTCTCTATAACGCCTCCCTCGCTCTGCCCTCTCCTGGAAGACGGTGAGATAACTCTCCCCCTTACCACTACCCAACTCAAAGACCGTCTCATCTTCGGCCCGTCCCCTTCTGCAATCGATTCCTCCTCTGAGTTCATCGACGCCCTAGCCCTAGCCACCAACTCTCCCTGCTCCTTCCCTCTCTCAGACCCTCCTCCAGACCAACCTTCATGTTTCACCGACCTCACTCGCCCATTGATCAAAACCAATCTCCACCGCTCCAAGACCGCCCCCGCCATGGCTGCTATAAATGAAGTCGATCATAAGCCGATTCCCAAACCCCAATTTGCCTCTACTTCGATTGTCCGCCAGTCTTTTGTGCTTCTCGTCATTTATCTCACTCTGGGTGTGCTTATATACTCGTTTAATCGAGAGAATTTTTCGGTCACTGAGACCCATCCCGTCGTCGATGCGCTTTACTTCTGTATTGTCACCATGTGCACGATTGGGTACGGTGATATCACGCCTACTACGACGCCGACGAAGGTGTTCTCGATTATGTTTGTGTTGGTTGGGTTTGGATTCGTTGATATCTTGCTTACTGGGATGGTCAGTTATGTGCTGGATTTGCAAGAGAGTATGCTCCTGAGAGCTGTCAAAGGTGGGGGAGGGCATGATGCGAGGTCTTATTTTGTTGATGTGAAGAAGGGAAGGATGAGGATTCGAATGAAGGTGGCATTGGCTTTGGGGGTTGTCATTCTCTGCATTGGTGTCGGGACTGCTGTAATGCATTTTGTTGAGAGACTTGGGTGGTTAGATTCGTTCTATCTCTCTGTGATGTCGGTGACGACAGTTGGGTATGGTGACCATGCATTCAAGTCATTGCAGGGACGTCTGTTTGCCTCAATTTGGCTTCTTGTCTCAACGCTCGCTGTTGCTCGAGCTTTTCTTTACCTTGCTGAGGCACGGCTTGATAAGCGGCACAGGATGATGGCGAAGTGGGTACTCCATCACGATATGACCATCGCCGAGTTTCTTGCAGCTGACATTGACAACAATGGTTGTGTGAGGTGTGTGTTTCTGCCGTCTCTGGAATTTTCCATCCCTATAACAATTTGTTTTGTTTCTAAAGAAAAAAAAAAGGAATCTGATACTGGCTTCGAATTGATATGAGCACTGAATTCATGATATAATGCGTATGCTCTGGGTTGCTTGGTTTTAGTGCTGTGAGTTGAAGACATTCTTACTTCAGATCTTGTTCAGATTTTGTTGAGATTTTCCTATCCCAATAGGCTAGGAAGTGGAATGATGTTTGATTTAGAATTTTTCTTTAAAATGATTCATCTTTCCATATGGGAGTTACCATGTTCTATATAATAGGTTTTGTTAGAAGAAGATGACTGATATTAGCTATTGTTTCCAAACTCCCAAGTATTTAATGTCCAAGATGGAGTATAGCAGTGGAAGGGCTTTGGTTCCTCTGGTTGTAGAAGGCTTCTAGTGGATGGAGACTGTCAAATGGTTATTAGGTGGATGGAAATGAGAGAGGGAGGGCATTGGTCCCCAAAAAATTACTTTTGAGAAGCTAGGACTTTCTCATCCATTATGGACGACCACTTCTATAAGCTGTTGATCGATTGCTCCTGATCAATGATTCACCTTGGACTTAGTGACCATGAAATCTCAAGGAGCTTTTGATGAGGCTTAAATCATGTTAGCCAATGCATCAATATGATGGTTTGATTATTTTACATCTCTTTGGGAATGGATGCAAATTTCAATGGGGGGTGAGCTTTAGTTTATCTCTTTAGTGACATTCTCATCTACATAAAAAGGAAGACTAGGAAAAGTCTTCTTTTGAATAATATTACCATTACCATCAATAAAAAAATGACTTTACCCACTAAAGAGAGAACAATGGGATTGCCCACAGATTGCACCTCGTAATTGGCTTATTGTGATGTTTTTGGGCGTTGCTCCAATTACTACATGTACGCACCTGTCATCCAACATTACCATTGCAAAATGTTGTAATCAATTGTTTAGTGTTTCCAAATCTTATGGTTTAGATATTGTGTTAAAAGTGATTATTAAGTTGGTAGAAAAACCTGCAGGAAGGTGGTGGATAATGCAGTAACTTGCAAAAGTAACAAATACAGAAATATACTCGTGGGTTTGGTAGAGTATACCTGTAAGATGGTGATACTATGTGGCATTTGACAAAATACAAGAGTTATGCTTTCCATATTGGATGGCCAACCTAAATATGGATTCCTGAACACCATGGATCTGATACATTATCTGGGATTCATTGTTTAAAACAAAATCTGACAACATATTGGGCCCACATGATACATTAGCCAAACCTACATGGCTGGCATTCATTTACAGGTATTACTTGCTTGCTGTGTTTGTAGTCTATTTGTTCAATAGTTAATGGCTTTTTGTGCAGCAAGTCATTTGCTTTATATATTTGTGGTTTGACGACTCTGCAAGCGCCTCATGTCATCCAAACCCTACAAAAGCCTGAACTCATTATCTAGTCTGTAGCTGATCAGAGCATAAAATAAAAGAAAGGAAAACATCTTGATTCAGAAATTCTTATGACTTTCTTTTCTGTCCCTGTGCTCCCTTAATAAGGGAAAAGAACTATGGTTTCACTTTCTTGTGCATGCATATTGCTTTTTGTTCAAGGACCATTTCTTTCTTACATATTGGTTTCTTATTCCTTCTAACCTCATACCTTTTTCTCCTTGTTTACTGCCAGTAAATCTGAGTTTGTCATATACAAGCTTAAGGAGATGGGAAAGATAGCAGAAAAAGATATCCTGCAGATATGTAACCAGTTTGACAGGCTAGACACGGGCAATTGTGGGAAGATTACACTTGCTGATCTCATGGAAAACCATCGATGAGTGGTGTTGGTGGATTTTCCTTAGTAGAACAAAGTGTGGTGGCACTATTATGGATATCTTTATGAGAAGTATCCCTGGTTTGAAAATCTTTCCATCAATTAGACGAGAAGGTCCTACTTTTATGAAGTTATTAGTAGTTCAAAGGTGCCACTTCCTGATTGACATATATTGCAAGCTTCCTTGCTGTTCTGTTGCACATGCCTATGGGTCTGCATCACCCATTTGATGAGTTATCTCTTGGATACGGTATGGTTTCTGGGATATCATTCCACATCCATTTGGCCTTGGTTTTATTGTCTACTAAAAGATGGACCTTGTTTCCTAAGGTCCCATGGTCCGCCTGTGGCTATGGCCCATGCAAACTAAGCTTTAGAGACTCGACACTCTGGTGGGCCGATGGGCAATGTGCTGATTGTAATTAAAGTGTTTGTAGTTTATACACCACCATGTTGGATAAGGTACATATAGCAGTTATTCTTTTTCAAATATACAAGGTACAAAAGGAGCCTCGGTGGTTCTCTGTTCATGTTATTTTTCTATTTTTGCTTGTTTTCTGAAGGGGTTAGTTTCACCCCTCTGCAAGTATACATGATGTAACTGTATGTAAAATTGCTCAAATTGAGAAGAATTTCAATAAAGCATTTCTTTCATAGATGTCTTATTCCTATTTGAAAGTGTATGGACTGGGACAAAATGTTCAAAAAGTTGATGAACAAAGTTAATTAAGAAGCTGGCTACCCAAAATGAAGTTGGTAAGGTGGGTGATTCTTTTTTTTAGTGGTAAATGAAAGAAAATTTTATTATAATTAAAACAATACAATATCAAAAGGGCGAATGAACTGGTACCTGATTACAAAGTAACAGACAACCCATAAATTTCCCTATTAATCAAGTATCAACCCATTCAAACTTCTTCATCATCATCCAAGCCTTATCCCAATAACAAGGTCGGCTGCATGATCCTGTTTTTCCATTTTGTTCTGTTTAAGGCTATATCTGTTGTTAAATTATTAGTCCTTAAATCATTTCTTGCATCCTTCTTGGTCTATTCCCACCCAGTTTAGCCCCTTCAACTTGCAATAGATTAGGGGTGCAACTTGGGTTGGCCCGATTTAGCATTTTCAACTGCTCCAAGCTCAAGCCTTTCAGTTGGGCCCATTCAATTTTGACAAAAGTCCAACCTTAACCCACCCAACTTGCACCTCTACAATAGTTCACTTCTTATTGCTGCTGTCAAAGGTCTTCTATACATGTGAGGAAGCCATCTTAGTTACTTTCTCATTTCATCATCTATTGGAGTTGTTCTCAAGTTCCTTTAAATGACTTCATTTCTAAACCCTATTTTATTTTAGGGTCTGTTTGGTTTGCAGGAATAGGAGTCCGGAATCGGAATCGGAATGGATCATTCCGATTCCAGATGTTTGGTTGGGCGGAATCGGAATCCGATTCCCATTCCAAGCGGAATGGCAATCCCCCATTTGAGGGAATGGCCATTCCCGACCCACCCCCTAGGAATCGGATTCCCATTCCAGCCGGTTAAATCAATAAAAAAGAAAATGACAGAAAAACCCCTCAAACCCCCGATTCAAGTTTCCAACCGTCTTTCTCCTCACTCTTGTCACTCCCTCCTTCAAACCCTTTGCTGTTCGGCGGTTGAACTCTGAAGATCCGACTTGTATTACTCCGGCCAGGTCCTGATGGAACTCTCTCCTTTCCTCTTCTTCTTCGAAATCCACCCCCCATGCTCTGCTTCCTCGCCTCCTCTTCCTCCTTCCTACTTTTTTTTTCACTAACTGAAATATGGTTTTATGTTTTGCAGATCTGCTCCTACTCTATTGGGATCGATCTACTTCTTCACATATTTTGATTGTTCTAACAAGCGTCTTAAGTAAGTTCATGTTGTGACACTTTTGCTGAAACAGGTTTATTTATTCCTATCACTGCTACCTTCCTTGCTCCATAATCACACAATGTCTGTTTGATAAACAGCAGAAAGAATGTGTTAGTCCCGGGTTTATTTGTTCCTAAATTTCAATTAGGTTAAATTAAACACCATTACTGACGCTTAATTGCCCAGAGTACTCTTGAATTAGCATACTGGATTCTGAATTAGATCACCGGCTACGCCTAGATAGGGGGAGCCAGCTGCAACTGAATTCTGAATTAGATCAATCCTATGCCAAGCATCTTTCTATCTTTGGCACCTATGGAGCACAGGAACATGTTCATCTTGAATTAATTTCAACATGTTTCACCAGACCCAACACATTTTGCATGTAGCAGAGTTTCAAATGTCTCAACTGATGAATACTAATTAACTTTGTAAGTCATGACAATAGACCTGCTAAGACATTTAACTAATCTGGTCAAGCATTATTGAATACCACCTCCACCGAATATCCTTACTAAGGTAAATGTAGAGGATGCAACAAAGCTGCTGAACAAATTGAAGCAGCTTCATTTCATTCCTGCTACTGTTTCCATCCATATTGTCCAATAAGCAAAACAAGTGATCTATCAGTAGGGCTGTTTTATTATCCATGAAACTTCTCATTTTCCTTGATCAGTTGATCTTTCTCACCAAATAAACTGCTAGTATTGCAATATTGAGTTCCTCTTGGTTAGAAAGCATTGAAAAAACATGTCTCTGGATCTCTAGGATCTGGGTTAAAAGAACCATCTGTTTGATTTTAATCTCATAAGAGATTAAACCCAATGGGTTTGATTGGTTAATTACATGAGAAATTGCACCTGCACATTTGATTGAAAAATTAGCTTTTCTCTTACAAAACCTAGTTTTGAACTTGTCCCACATTGGAAAATTATAAGCTTTATTTTTAGTATTTTAATAGGAGCTGATTTACACTCCTTAGAAATAGTAGAGGAGAGTATGGGGGTTTGATACTGCGCAACGCGCGTGCACGCGTGTCCGCGCGTGTGTGCGGCGCAATGAGGCGCACTTTGCTCGCACTTCGCGTGGCTCGCGAAGGGCGGCTTTGGTTTTGGTGCGATGCTGACCGTTGATCACCGTTGATGAGATCAA